TATTGATACTGAAAGCAATGTTTGTCCTGGTACCGTTAACAAGTTGAATAGTGGAGATTCTGTTGACCATCACCGATACATATTTAATGTTCCTCTATGAATATCGTGGAGATTCTGCCCACAGTTTGTAAACATCCTGTCTAAGACAAATTTGAGGTAAGGGAAACCAAAATTATGTACAATCATGGGTTTTGGGGAAAATGGGGACTTGGAAACTATGTTAGACAAGCTTAGAGGAAACAAGTAGCCAGCATGTTGAGGTCGAGTCTTAAAGCAGGAGGAAGCTATAGGCAAGATAAAGCGAGGAGTATTATAATAATTTTGCAGAAATTTTCTTATTGTTAATATATACATTGGCTTAATATTAAATTGATGTTTAGATACAAGTTTTGATCAAATATAAGAACTTTGTTAATTAGAAATTAATGATTATAGTTTAGAATATTATGTCCTCAATTAAGGTGATTATTTGAACATATTTGAACTATTTAATTACATTTGAGATAAGTTGTAATTTGGAGATTGACACCAAGCTGCAACGCTCAGTTTCTGTAAAGAATTATTTAATCTGTAAATTAGAAACGCGTTGGAACTTTGTATGAAATTATCGTTCTGTATTAGAACTCCTTTGAAATTCGAAACTTTGCTACAGAATATTTAACTAGTGCTTGTATTGCACGTACTGTGCTAATGTATACCGCTGTTACTTGCCAACATTTGCTGATCATTATTGCTGAAACTGCTGGTAAAGTTAAAGTTTGTCTTGCTTTCTTCGATGAATAATCTAAGACATGAACTTTAACATTTTAACTAGTTGAATACTTGTTGGTTGAATCGGTTATAAGCAAACATATCAATCATTACAAAGGATTTCTTTTCCCTGTATAAAACTTTTTATCAATTTCAAAATTGCTGTTAAATCATTCGTCGAATAAAATTTGACAGGACTAATAAAATGGAACTTAATTACTCTAATTATAATTAATTAGTTGACAAAACACTATCTACTAAAAATAAAATTAAATATTTCAGTATTTAATATTATATTTTTTACTTACATGCTTTTATTTTTAATGTAGCATATTACGAATTCTCATTAAAACTCATGGACTTTCTAGTTAAATCTCTTTTATAATCCCTTGATCTTTGTTCAGCTAAGTACTTGAATCTCCAAATGGGGATTACAATAAAAAATGAGTTAAGTATTAATTTCCAACTGAGAATTTACAAAATGGCAAATAGAATCAATCCTTTGAATTAAAAGAAATTTGTCACACATAAGAACAGAAGAAGGTGAGATTGTCTGATAAAGAAAGGAGGATAAGCCAAGATAAAGGAAAAGAGTAGAAGAAAAGTTGAAGGTGAAAAAAAATGCTGGAGAAGAAACAGCAAGGAAGGAAAAGGAGTAGAAAAAGCACAAGCGGAACATATAATAAAAAGGGTAGATAGAATAACGAAGGGTTAGGAGCACGAGGAAGTGGTAGCTTTGGCCAGCAGTGGAGCTGCATATCAGGAAAAAAAGATGAGCATGAATAAAGACAAAGGAAAAGGAAACGATCTAAGGCAGACAGAACAGAAAAAAGATGGTAAAAGGAGATGGAAAAAGTGACAGAAAGTTGCATCCAAAAAGGGGGAATGATCGAAAATGATCAAAGAAGAGCCAAAAGAAAAGGAAAAGGAATAAAAGCATAGGTCAGTAAAAAGAAATGACAATGAATTCCAAAGAAAAAGAGGGAGAAAGAATGTTATATAATAGCTACATTGAGAATATTTCATGTTTCTAATAATTAGTATTTAAATATTAATTATTTCTATTTTGAGTAATTAAAATTTCAATATTAATTACTTCTGTTTTTGGTAATTAGAATTTCCACTTTTGATGATTACAATTTCACGTTATAATTATTCTAAATTACTCAGGATGCATTCTTTAATTAGTTCTTAAATTAAATTTTTCATTTCCCACCTTGGATAAATAATATAATTTTAATGCCAGAAGATGTAATTAAATGCAGATTAATTAAAAAGACATAATACAATTTTTTTCACATTTTCAACGTAACACACGATTTTTCTTTTTATATAATCAAGATCTTACAGTCAAATATAACATACGATCATTAAGGTTTAATTAGCATTAGTGCATCGTGTGTTGAAGAGTATTGACTAAGCTTGCGGTTTTATGATCGATATCGGCGAAAGTTATCACATCCCTGAGCTTAAAGAAACTTTATAAACACCGTATATTGCAGTTACGTGTAGTACAACTTTATAGAGAGGAAATCGAACCTATTTCTGGGTGAGATAGAAAGCTGAGAGTTTGGGATCTATCAACCACTCTACCCTCAAACACACCCTTGAGTCAGATGGATTTAAAGATAAATTGAGAGTTGTAGAGAGTGTCAAAGTGGACGAACGTATAAAAGATATATAGTAAAATTCTTTTATACAATGCAGGCTCAATATTTTTGAATTCTCGCACCTCTCTATAAATTCTAATTTTTAGTGTATGAATTTCTTATGGTTGACAAATTTGAAAATTTCTATGTACCTACCTTGCTATATTTTAGTTTCCTTTCTCCATTTCTGCATTGGGGCAATAAACAAGCAATTCAATCACTATAAAAATCGTGAGGCAGGGGGTAAACTCTACATGCTATGTGGGCGAAAATTCACCCTTTCTCTATTTCTAGTTATTGTAAAATTTTGGTGCATTTGTTTGAATTGTTTATTTATTTTTATAACAGTTTTATTGATTTCTTTTTATTCTAAATAAAATTATATAATAAATACCTAAATTTACATATTGCATTTTATGCATACCTTCGGATGTAATTGAAGTATTTTGTTTGAGAAAGAAAATAAATTGAGTTTCTTCTACACAATGAATAATGGATGTACCGAAAATAAAGCATATTTTAATTTATGGTCCAATACAAGTAGCTGTTCCTTTATAAAATCTTATTCTGAATACATTAATATTTTCAACATCAAAAAAAATGAATATTGAATGAATCTCCGTGGGGAAAAAGGGAGCCAGTGTTTCACGATGAATATTTTCTTTTGAAATAGATGTAACCCATTTTGAAAACATATTTTCAGTCGCGAAGACGAATACTGTGATCAAGATACAGTAGCCATTACTTATCACATGGATATTTGATAGTAACATCGTACGTTAAAGTGATATCCCCTGCAGTGGGTCAAATTTGAATATAGAATAGCAATGTTGAATTTACTATGCGTGATATCGCTGCCGATGGATAGAACCTATTGAATGAGAAGAATCTTTCAAAGAAGAGGTGTTCTTTCTTAGAATAATTTTTTTTTTTCTTTTCTTTTTTCGATATTGAATTGGGAGCCGAATGCATAATGCATTAGTTGAAAATATTTCATGGACCAACTTGTTACCGATACGTCGTTCCACTCCTTAAACGATCGATCGTGACTCAACTAAAAAGAATGGAAAGGGAAATAAATTTTGTCCGTGTCACTATACAAAGTATTTTTTAAAAAAGCACTTCAAGAAAATTGCAGATTCTATATATTGAAAGAAGTAACAAACATTATTAATTATTTTAGGATTTATGATTCTGTTTTTCGAGATTTAAGATTGTGTGCTTGATTTGCTTTTATCTAATTATGAAATTAGATTAAAAATTACTATCTTTAACCCTTGAACCTGGAGCCTGGATTACAAGAATAATACAAGAATATTAATCTTCATATTTATATTAAAATTTAGAAAATGAAAATAATATGAAATAGAAAATTAAATTAAAATTGTAGTTCCCTCCGTGGTCTGGTGTTCGAGGATTAATGTACCTCTGCTATAATAGCTATAATATGTAGGGTGTTGGGTTAACGGTGGAGATTTTTTGAGGGGTGGTAGCTGGGGTGATCCTGAACAACTTTTTCCTTTACCCAAATGCTTGTTAAGGCTTAGTTTTTGAATTATTAATAAAAAGAAGCGAGGAATCGGAGCGCGCATAGTGCGCATGCGCGGCCGTAAGAGTGTCGGCTACGAACCGAGCTCGACGCGCAGCTGAAGTAGTTTGTTCGCGACCGCGGTCGAACGCGGTACTCGTAGCCGATGCTCCCGCGTTTGAGCTTGCGCGTTATGCGGTTGTGATTGGCCAGTGTTTTTCGTTTATAATTTAAAAACTACGCCTTAATGAACATTGTGATGAAGGAAAAAGTTATTCAAGATCATCCCAGCTACCACCCTCTCAAAGGCTTTCCACCCCTGCTGAGCACCCTGTATAGCAATATACAGTATTCCTATGGTAATCAACATCATAATTTCGCAGTAAGTTGACAAATATTTAAATGGCTTAATTAATTATTTATATTATTATTAATAATAATAATTTCGAATCTCTTCACCATATTAAAACATTAAAATTCATTGCGAAATTTTATACGTCACTAAGAATGCCTCTAATTTGAACAATTTTTGTGTTAGACAGTTTTCAAAATAATGGACACGCTAAGAATTACACGCAAGAGAAGTAGAGTACGAAATATGTCTGACATGTACTGATCTCTTTTTTTCGCGTTGTTCTAGTTTTTTCCTTTCGCGCGTTTCTTGTTCAAATTAGTCATAGTTTATAAAAATAATCTCTAAAGAAACAATATAAAATTTAAGAAATGAGAATGAAGAGAAATTTGAAATTAAATCATGCCTGGGATTAGTAATCATTTGGCTCTGTCATTTGAGGGTTGTGCATTTTAAAAAGTGTAGGTGTTCCATTAAATCTTTTTATTAATTTTAATAGATTGTAATTAGGCATCTTGCAATGACTGTATGTTAGTTTGACAAATTTTATAGCATTATATTTTGTATAATAGTTAATAAAACTAGGAATGTTATAATGTAAAGTTGCAATAACGTTACTGTGCATATATTAAACTGTTCGAAATGATTAAACGGCAAGGAAGATTGACGAGGACGATTTAAAAGACAAAATATTTTACAGATTTCGTTACTTTGCTTATAGGGTCGTTAGATCCAACCCCTGAGGAGAAGAACTTTCAACGAAATTCCAAGGGTAGAGGATTCCCCCTATTCATGTCCACCAGCATTTTAGGTCAGTAATCTTACCATTCAGCACCGAGATGAGTTTCCTCTTCTCGAGAATTCTAACTCTTGATATTCCGTCGATATGCTCATGATTGCAGCTGTCACATTTCGCTGAATGTCTAACGTCCAATGTTACATAGAACTTTACGTAATTTAACCAAAGTTGAACGATGAGGGTGGGTCAATCGTGACCCAGACTCACCATAGTATACTTTGGTGTCTGAATTATAAGTCAGTGAAATTTTTAAACAAAAAATCTTCATATATTGAACAAAACAATATCTCAAGTAGTCGTTTGAAATTTTCATAATTAAAATGAGAAATTATTTAAATCCTTGATTTATTCATTTATTTATCTATTATTTTAATTTAAAACAGTCATTATACTAAAAATCAGATACATTTTTACTCTAAACAATATTACAAACAAATATCTCGGTCCAAAGACACTCATATCCCCTAATAATTCATTTCCTACCCTTCTCAATCTGCAACCGTATTTTTAACCCGGGTGCAGTGAAACCCGGTCGTTCGTAAGGTTAAAGTACCAAATCGAGGCGTCACTTTCAATTAAAAATACATCGGAGTTCGAGACCGAAACACGAGTCGTATAAAAGTGTTGAATTATCGAGACGCGGGTCTATATAGAAGCGAATGGAAAGTTCAGGTGCCCATCACCTGCTAAGAATGCACCTGGAAAGAGTTTAGCAGCCTCCGCGACAAAGAGGGACACCGAGAGGGTTGTTTTTGTCATGGAGCAATGGACTAATGGATCGGTGGGAGGGTTGCTGTGCAGGACAGAGAGGGGATGATTCGAGGGTGGTAAAGGTACGGGGTGAATTCGAGTAAGGGTGGCAGCGCTGTGACGGGCAAACTAGGAAACACGGACGGGATTGGCCCGTAAGCTTTCAGTCGCGGACAAACCGTTACGCGAGGATAACATCGTACGCGTATTATCGTAACAGAAGTTCATTTCGAGGACGTTATCGCTCGTCTATCGTCGCACGATCACCCGTAAGCGTTTCAGTGAGATAAATAAGGAAAATATTATTCTGTGCACGAGACACGAACGTCGCCGAGATTTATTATTGTTTTTCTATTTCGGATACTTACGTGGCTACCACGTGGATGGTTACAAAGAGCGGGTCCAGTGAGCTCGTGAATAGGATCGAAAGGTTTTCTAACAACGTTACAGATGATACGCACGGTCGTTAGGGGTTGTATAATTGGGTGTAACAGACGCTAATTAGAGGCCGTCGATGGCTTTGTTGCGATGCGGTATGCAGCTTCGTTACAGTTCGATGATATCGAATCCCTTCGATAAGGAGCTTGACTTATTGGCAAGGAATTGAGATTCTAATTGAGACTGGTAATTTCAGGTTGATTACAGAGGGTTAATTATTTATTTTGCTATTATTGAATGAACTTTTTCGGGCGATTTGTTTAAATTTCTTAAAGTTAATTCTCTTTCTTTTTTTTAATCTTGAATTTAATTAAGATTGATAATAAAGGATAAACAATATTACAAATTTGCTATTAATTGGAGAAAGTTTTCTAGACTTTGTGATAGTATTCTTCTAGTTTACCCTGTTATCTTTGGATTGTGAATTTAGGTATAATTCTAATTAAAATTGATAACAAAGAAATGGGAATATAATGTAATTAATTAAGTAGTAATGGTCAAAGGTTTCCTTTTGAATCCTGAATTTAATTATCCTAATTCTTTTGAAACGAGAGCTTAGTTTCTTTATTTTGAGATGAGGGTGCAGGGTCAAAGGGTTTTTCAGGAATTTTTCATTTTCTGCATTCGCGATTTTATTCTTCTTTGTGAGAGAATTGAACCTCCGATTTTACGATAGGTGCGAATTTTTTAATAAAACTCATTCTGATTTAGGAAAGGGATTTTTCAAAATTTTTGATAAATTCTCTTTGAAATCGTGGATGATCGCTAGTGTACACTGCACCTTTCTCATAGCTCTAAAGAAAATAATTCAACAGTGTCGAATTATAGGATTTTGAGAGTTAATTAACACCACTGTTTCCTGAGAATAATTCCACCTCTGAATTTCAATCGCACCGACGTGTTGGAACTGTATATCCTCATTTTCGTAATAAATTGCATTGTTTGACTATAGATCGTAATTATCAAACATAAATTAGGAACCATAGCTTAAATATTCTAAAGTTGAGTTGATTTTGCAATTCAATTAATAAATCTACTTTTAATAACTACCCTTTTCAATTTTGGAATTTTCAGTAAAATGATAAATATTAATTAAATATTTCAAACAGTTCTGTATATTAATTCAAAAATTATTAGCATGAGTTCTTTAGTTAAAAAAATAAGAATGCAACACTGCATTTTTAATTTTTCTTCGATTTTTTTTTAATATAAAAATCAACAGATTGTTGTTACTTCTTCCGCAGTTACAATTTTTTGCAAACGTTAAATAAAACGAGATTAAAATTCGATGTATGTACTGAGAAGCGTACACTGAACAAATACGGTTGACATTTATTTTTTTTTCCTCCCCGTGAAACATGTCAACTGTCGTTGTTATTCTTGCAAACAGCAAATTCATTGTAAACGTTGGGTTCAAAAAACATGGTAAACATTTTCAGATTGAACTGAACGGTAAAAAGATTGTTTGACAAATGTTTGACGTGAATGTTACGTCCGTCATGAAATAAATTTCAAATATTATTGCATTTTTATTTACTAAATTTCATACGGTTCGTAACTGTTACAGATTGCTTTATAATTTTTACAAACGCACCTTTGTGAAATAACTTTGTACAAACTTTTTTATTCATTTTCTGATTTAGCAAATTTTAAAATTATCTTGTTTCATTAGAAAGATCAGGCGATAGGAAATTGGAACTTTTTCGCGTTGAATTTATCCGAGGAACGACGTTCAATCGTTCGAACGTAAATGCAGCAATGATAAGCTTCTTTTTCTCGTCGATTTTCCTGTAAGACTGCAATCGCTGCATAAACAATTCTTTATACTAAACAAATAATACCAGCATTATATCAGACAGATGGCGTTCAATGGAATTAATAAAAATAAGGAAATGAAAGGAAATATTATAAGACTGCGACTTGAAAATTTAAATATGAAAAGGGTTATTTTGCAAAATGTTTAATTTCATCTGAAACATAAAATGGCTAAAATGTACCATCTAATTACATTCTTATTCTATTAATTGCAATTGAATGGTCTGCGAAACGCGAACAAACGAGGTGGTCAAAGTAAAACTACCAAATCAGTTCAAGGGTTTCCCTTGTTCCTCGAACTTAATTGAACAATTACTAAGGTAGTTGCGTAACTTCGTCAACTTTAAACAAAAACAATTTGCGTATGTTTTTCACGATACCTCAGCAGTTACGCTACGAAACTCGTTTACCTTAAACGCTATTAACTTTCATCGCGTTGTTTGAGGCGTAATTTTAACAAGCGCGTAACATCGATCTATAAAATTGAATCCTTTCGATGAAATAATAATCGAACGTGTCTGGTTCGAAATATTAAAATTGCAGGAAATTTTGAGCGAGTGTATAAAGCGTAAAATGGAAGATTGTAATACGTTGAAACGTTGGGAAGCTAATTAGCATGGCGCTGAACATAATGACACAATCATGCTATTATTACCAACGGTTACAGGGCTTTGATGACTAGCTCTGTATCATGGAACAAGAAATGATGATGGAATATGCGTGGTAAAGAACAGGGGATAATGATGTACAAATTAATATGAGAACAAACATATTCATTAAAATAACTGACTTTTAAAGCAGAAATTATTCGCGTATTTGACTCTATTAAAGCATAATTATGTATATTAATTTATTTATTTTGTATTTAAAGATGGGTACCATTCGGTGATAGTTATTCTATTAGAAGACACTCTTTGCTTTTTTTAAATATTTAATTTATATTTAAAATTTCGTACAATAATTGGAATTATCATAACTTTTTAAAAGTAAATCTACAATTAAAAACGACATAGAATTAATTTATATACATAATATTAATTTTCGAATGGCGGACCATGGAGAAAGCCCCAGTTGTAATTTCATTTCCTAACACAAAATTAATTTGTAAATCTAGTAATATTTACTAGAGATGATAGTAATTAATAATCGGAAATTATTTTCAAAAAATTTCACCGATTGATTAATTATCACCAAAGCTTCTTGAAAGAATAGAATTAAAAGAGAAAAATTTAAGATGATCGGTGTGATTTTTTCAAGCTTTGAAATCTTTGAAAACGAAGAGAAATTAATAATGATCAGACGGGTGTTATTCGTGCGTGAATCCTCAACGGTGTAGAGGAGTTAGCGAAGGGCGAAATTTCCTGAGGAAATCTCTTAGAAATTCGCTGGAAAATGAAGCAGTTACACGGGCCGACAGACCAATCTTCTATAACGCCGTTCCCTTTTTGAGCTTGTCAGATTAGATGGGATCGTGTGATGCAGAGTGCAACGGGTGACGTACTTTTCATGGTGAGAGTGAATGAGGGTATTCTACATCTTTTCGCATCGCTTACCAACGTTCTGTGTGTGCTTTTGACGAGTTTGTGCAGCGTATCGTTTGTTCGATTAAGTGCTAAGTGAAAGATATTGTTTTCGCGGTACGTGAATTTAATACGGTGTCACGACAAAGTGAACAAAGTTACGTTATCTCGTGTTGGTTCCTCTTCCCCTTCATATATCAATATTTTCTGCAATTCTTCTTTGGTCCTCAGTTAACGTTTCAAAAATAGCTTTTCTTTTTATTTTCACATTTCAGACATTGAAACCGTTCCTTTTTCAAAAAAATATCCTGTGTATTTTTAGCAATTCTTGCTGTCAAACGTTTCTAATGTTTCGTCTCGTTTAAATTCATTTTTTAAAACAACGGAAGTGCACTTGTTTCGTCTCCAAACTGTTGCATCCAGGGACCGAGGATCCAGCTTTGTGTCCATCTTTGTGTTATGTAAACCAAGAGACCCGATGTACTCGTAGCCAGGTACCTCTAGCTCGTAGATACGATTGCTTAGTTGGCAGGAAGCTGCCATGTAACCGTCGAATTAGTGCGTCGACGAAAGACCATTTTCTCGGTGATCGAGGCTCCAGCAGTTTCCTCTCGAATAGACTTCCTATTCGCTCCGACCCTCCATTTCCAGAGAAATTCTAACGGTGATTAAGAGGTTCCTTCTCTTCTTCGATGGCTTTCGCGATGTCGACATTGTGTAAATATTATTTTCGTCTACAGTGAATAACGCACCATGAAATTACCATTTTTCAGAGTGTAATTAATATAATTGTTAAAATTATCAAGTAGAGATAGAAATCAATATTTCAGTACGCAAAGGACTTAAGTCTAGAAATCAATTTACAATTTGAGAATTTTGTAAATTTCTTACTGAAGATTAAACCAAACGTATCGTCGAAAGGAAACAGTAATCTCTGCTTGGGTGTGTAAGACACTTTGTAAACAGACATTATCTCTTGTTTTCCATTTCAACAGAGAACAAAGGGAGGCCAATACTTGTCTATGGACTGCTTGCAGATTTGTATTTTGTCTTCTGTTGTCTGTAGATCGTCCATGGGCAATGTATGCAGACTGTTTGCCGACTGTCCGTGGGCAATTGTCTGTAAGTTTGGACAATCCTTTACACGAACGTTGGTCGTAATTGTATTACAAATGCAATTTGATTTACTCTTGTGAGTTGATTGGTATATGGAATGATGTTCAAAGTGGAAAGTTATTGACTTTTGAAAATATCTTTATTAGTACTTGATATATTGAATGATCTAAGTAAAAGGTATTTACATTTTGAGAAATTCTAAAACTTTGTCACTTACCTAATTAAAAATGTCCTTATTAGTACTAGATATATTGAATGATGATTTAAGTAAAAGATATTATAATTCGAAAAATTCTAAAAATTTTTGCACTTACCTAATTAAAAATGTCCTTATTAATACTTGAAATTGCGAATAATACCAATAACCAATAGATAATCGATAAGATGGCAAATGTACAGATAGAGAGCATTCCACTTTCCTAAAAAGCAACACGTAACTTTAATCAAATTTCTAAGCAGCACGAGTGTAGAATTCGCCACAGTTCCTTTTCCCAAGATAAAATGCTTCCGCAAATGGTTCAGGGGTGTATATAGCAGAGGTAGTGGGTTGCAATTTCTTCTCCCTGTGGTCTGTTGAGTATTGCTAGAACCGGTGGCCCAGTTGTCTGAATCCCGGTCATACTCGTCCTCTGGGACATACTGTAATCGTCTCGTAGGTCAATCTTAAATTGTACAGCTATACGCGTGACTCTGGGCTACTTTAATCCGTCGGACTAGCCGGTGCACCTGGTAGACGACGGTGCTATACCAACGGAACTTCAAACTTCGGATCGTATGGAGGACGAGGATAGAAGGAGCCAATTACATCTCATTCCTGTAGAATCGGACGAATGCATACAAGACGCTTAAGACGCCTTAACTACCTTGGGATTTGTACCGTCGTTCTCTAACTGTCGAGATTCGTTTAAGAGCTCTGCCGACCTGTATCAATCACCACTGGCTGCTCTACCTTCAACGTTCCCCGACTATAAATTCATGAAATTCACCTTGTTGGCTAAGAATTGTCCGAGATGGTACACTTCCGGTTCGATTATTCCACCAGAGTATGGTTACTTCACGCTATAGTTGTATCGATCAATTTTAAACGGCACTAAAATTTTAGTTGAAGCAATTTTTTGGAAAATTATTCAAATGTAGATTCTTGAAGATTTCCAGAATAAGGATTGTAGATCTATTTGAAAAATAAACAGGAAAATAATAATAAATTCATTAAAAAAATTCAGTTAATAAAATGGAACCAATTTTTAATTTTCGGACGGCGGACCACGGAGAGAGCCCGAATTTTAATTTAATTTCGTTTCGATTCCGCTGTTCGATGGTTAATTGATCAAACGACTATATACACAATGGTTAATTAATAAAAATAAAGGTACAAGGTATTATTCAAATATAGAAAAGGGAAGTTTGCTAGGATACATGGATATGTAACCAGTAACTCAGCAAACAAATTCAGAGTAAAACTGTACCAGCGATCGGTGTAAGAGAATCGATGGGCGTGAAGTTTGAGCGATGGACCAGTTATTGGATATTTTCGATACGATATCGAAATGCCCTGGTAAATCAATCTCACGTTTGGTGCAAAGTACGAGGGTTTATCTTTTTACTCCACAAATATGAAAAAATATTGAAATCAAAATATTACCGTAAATTAAAATGAAGATATTCTCGTGGATTGATTAAATGTCTAACAAATTTATTTCATTTTTGTTTCAGGACACAAAAAGGCTCAACCAGGATCATCAGAACCAATGGATTCCAGAAACTCAGGAACTAAATTAATAGCTAATTAACGTTCGCTTAATTACTCATCCTCTGAGTCCTTCGCGCGATAAATTGGACATCGCAAACTGAAGTGTGATATCAGACTAAACAAAATTCTGTGATTTTTATGATTCGAAATCCAAACTGTGAAGTGTTTCATAAAAACTGATGGTCGAATCGAACTCTGAAGGAGTACTACAGTAAAAGAAAAAAGGAAACAGGTGATTTTCTGTAGGGAAAGTGGTCGATCTAATTCTCTAAAATATTCAAACATTAAAGAAACTAAACAATGCTCGGTTCCGTTGAAACGTTACAAATGAATTCGGCGAATCGATAGTGCGGGATCGTAAATCCTATCCCGGGTCAAACCTGTGTGTCTGATGAATAATACAATTCTTCCGGTCGCGTTGGATCCTCGCCTCCGTAGTCAGCCAGTGATCGAAAAGCTTCGGGCCGGATCGTAGAATCCTTATCGACTGACAACTGTAAGGTATCCCTTTCTCGACGCTGGCGTGTCGACGTCGACGTCGTTGCCCGTTAACGTTGATCCTGTAAGGATATTTAAAGAGGCGACAGTGATCCGTGACGTTTATCGTTCGCGCGATGAGTGATAAATCAAGTGCTAAACCGTTCGAGCATTGACCCCGATTCGAATAAGTGATATCGCGATCAGTTATGATTCTGGACAGTGATTTGCATACGGAACGCAAATAAGCTAAACGAAGAGAAAGGGTAACAGAGTGACAGTGATGTGGGTGAATCCGGATCGTGATTTCAACAGTCTACGACGATCTCTGTGAGTAATTGATCAAGGAGATCGGAGGTGTGTTTACGTTCGTCGAAGCTCTTCTTTTCTTGAAAGAAGAGGGATAAACGTAGAGAACAGAAGGAAAGGAAGAGTGACATCATGAAGGACCGTCGTAGAAGATGGCTGTACGTGGCGCTACCATTAATCACCTTCCTTTCGCATCAAATCGGTGAGTTTCTATTCATTTTATTCCTCCATCGATACGTATGTTGCCTGCACAGTTTCTGAGGTGAAAAAAAAGAATGTTGTTCACTCGTTTGGAAAAGAATTCGTGTCACTGTAAAGGATATTAACCCTTTTTCTTTTACTCTGATAATTAGGAAATTAGTAACGGGATCGAAAGCATACGTTCGATATTTTGAAATCGGTTTATATTTTAATATTGTAATTTCCAGCCGGGGAATGCATATTATAATATCATTAATAATTGAACAAATATAATAATTAGCGGGATAATACAGGGATTCGGATCAGGATGATACAGCTTTTAGCGTTAATTAGTAGTTATGTCACTGCATTAATTAATTCATATAAATTTTTTCATGTCAAATGTAACAGAGTTGCAATGCTTTCATTATTTCTATAAATTCATGATAAAGTTTTAATTATAAATGCATTTGATTTTGACAAAAGTAAAAATAATTTTCTAGCTTTTATCTATCCATTTATTATCATGGATAATTAATATTTTTCATCGTGGAAAGTATCCGCCTGGTTTCAATAAAAGTGCCAAAACATTTAAATAACAAGAACCATCCTCACGTTGAAGTAAAAAGGATTTTTAAATTTTTGAGAAGTAGAGAATTAATACAATTTGAATATTAAAGTTTTATAACATGAACTTATGACCTTTTTCTGTGACATTCAGTAGTACGTGTAATATATTCTTGTTATACGATTTTTACTGCAATATTACCCAGTGCATGGAATGCAATTTTTCATTCCGACATCTCCCGCGGCCAAAAATTGCAGAAAAAGGGGGGAAACAAATTTCAACAACACTCGATTGATTTATGAAAAAATACGCAAAGGAATACTGCATAGAAAATTACACGATTCCAGTCGCTCTTGCAAATTACGTTCCTTATATTCAGATACAGAGTTTATATAAATAAATTTAAAATTAATTTCAATAAATTTGAATGTTATTTATCGAAGTAAAAGATACAATTAACACGTTGATGACCACTGTTGAAATTGCCATATTTAATGACACATTATAATGCACATTATTAAAGGTATTTAAAATTAACTTTTAAATCTACTGCAGAAATTTCCTGCTCCCAGAATTGATTTTCTTTTACCAATGAACGTGTCATTAAACATTCATTTCAACATTTGTACGTATAGTAATGGATGTACGTTTACAGTACCAAAAGGATAAGTTGTGAAATTTTAATAAACCGTGAAAATTTCATCGTCACGTTAATAGGAAATTAACCAATTCCACATTTCGTTTAAGCCGTTAAAAGCATGAATTCATCGTAATCCGATTATACCTTCTATCACTGGACAAAGAAAGAATGTTACGTACGCCTAATCCTAAGGTTGTACTACTTGCAATGTACGGACGGTCCGCGTTATTTCGTGTTACTCCACTTAGGCACTGAATACGAAGCTATAATTATATTGGGGCTAATTAATTTTTTTTTAATGGAACTATATATTTTTCTTGAATATTATTTTATTCAGAAAATTTTATACATTTTTAATTTTTGAAATATTCCATTTTAATTTTCTAGATCTGACTCGTATTTAAATATTTTAACTTTTTATATAAAATATTTCACGAATTATTTTCTAATATCTTAATATGTAAAATCTTTAAAAAAAATATATATAATTCCATCTAAAAAAATCAAGGCAACTTTGCCCAGAAGAGAAAAATTGTTAGCACCATATAATTTTTACTCCAGTTCCTTTGATTCAAAAATATTTCAGATGATAATTATCGATAGTTAGTTGATATACTGCAAGAGAATTGTTCGAAAATTACTCTCCTAAGGAAAGAAATTATTTAAATACGTGAAAGTTAAGTTTTCGCTTGTATATTTTACATTCGCCAGGCAAATATGATTAAGTTAGCGTGTGACGTATGGCTTGTTTCAAGCTACGCAACGTAGCTAATCATAATTTCTAGCGCGGGTGATTAAAGTTTATACACGTAGGGTAATTCTATCGATCTCGACAAGCTGCCGGAACGTCTTACTCGTGAGCTTTCGTGTTTCCGAAGAATTTCTTTAATCGAATAGTTCACACGCGACGGTTTTTTGTAGCTAGGATACGGAATTCGCAGTTATTCGAGGAATTCGCAACATCGCAAAGGAAAAGGTCGGTGAAACAGCAGCCGGGCTGAGATAAGAAGCTTCGAGTGCTTTTGCAATTACGAAAAGACGGAGAGCTATTTCAACTGGGCATTCTTGAATAACTTTAACCGCTATCGCGTTCTCCTTGATTTCCATACGATGAATGGTTTCATGAATAACGCAGTCGCGATCCTTGAAAACCTTCAACCAGAAGAAAGCTGCCGATAATTTCGATGCGAGGGGGAATAGATATCTTCTGTTACTTGTCATTCGAAGAATCATTATTTCTGTCAATTTCATTCATTCGTTTGAAATGGGTTAGGCACAAATGCTTGCGATAAAAAATATGAACTTATGATTCGAGAAATATTTGTGAAATTCATTGAAACATAGGTGAGGTTCATTTTGCAGAAAAATATGACTTGTGTTGTACAGTCAAGATGATTTCAATCAATTTTAATTTATAGACTGAGGATATTTATGTATCTATGAAACAAAAATATTTCAGGGGTGGAAATTATACAAAATTTACGTCACAAGACAAAACTTTTCAATATATGTTAAAATGTATATTTGCATAGAAATCTGCAATCTAATCATTATATTTCTTTAAAAAACATCGGTAATAGTAGAATCTAGACGAGCTTTTATGTTATTTATAAAGCAATATTGGAGTAACATTTGATACCATATATTGAAGATAAAGTGCCATAAAATTGTATTTTCCCGAGCAGTAACGGTTTAAAGTATCCATCGATGGTAATCCAGGCATGGTCATCTTTTTAGTTTTTTACTCTTATCACAGTTGCCTGATTTAACTACCAATAAAGAGTTGTTGAAACAATAGTCAATCGAGCGATCTTATCGATAATTTGAATCCATATCGGTGTGCTGACAAATTATCAGTCAATGTAACATTATCTTTTTGATTAGATAACAGGCATTATATTTTGTATCGATATTGTCGTGTTTATTTTGGTATAGTTCATTTCAAATTAGTTTATATTCAATTAAAAAATTTCTATGTTGATAATTTAGCAATTTGTATAATTTAAATTATTGCTTGGATTATCATTAGACAAAATAATCACCATTTCTAATTATAGTTTTCTATAATTAGTTTACATTCAATTAAAACATTTTTACGTTGATAATTTAGCAATTTTTATAATTTAAATTATTATTGCTTGGATTATCATTAGACAAATCACTCCTAATTAAAATATATCAATTAATTTTATGGTATTTCCATGAAATTATTCATTTCCACAGATCGATGACGCGTCTATAATTTTTTTTATTCACCCAGAAATGAAAATCGTGCCTTTTTTATTTCCTCGAAAGTTAGATGGTAAATTTTTTCTGGTTCGAAAAAAGATAGGAGAAAACGTGTGACCGTTCAACGAGGTTTAGTCCGGTTTCAACTGATTCAATCCTTTTTACCGAATTAGTTACAATGGCCGTTAATCTTCTCGTACTCGGCTTTAAAATTGCTATTCATCTCTGGACGGAGATTAGTAAATTCCGGTCTGATTACTTGCTGCAATCCATTTTTCATTTTCTTCTGTGAATTTCTCACTGCAAGAAATCGATGATAGGATAGCCAGGTTAAACTGACTTGCAGCTACCAATGCGTTTAGGTTAATCCAGATATTATGTTGTACGAGATAAATAAGTGAATTCTTCCTGGGAGATGAATATCGCATATAAAGCTCGTAAATAGTGTCATCACTGGATTACAGATGTTAATGCAAATATATGGGTCTATAAAATATTTTCACCCTTCGCAGATTTCGCTTATTTCTCGCCTTTTCTTATAATTACATTGCAGTATTATTTGTTACAAAAATATCGATGCTCTGTATGCGGTAATAAATATCAACAGAAGGACAGGCAGGCATATCAAACGTTCAGAATAAATAAGTCTATAAATAAAAATGCAAACATTAAATATATTCGTGATTGCTGATTTCACGGAATTTTTACTGTGTCTTTTTTGTACTCGGTTTATTCGTACTCCAATAATTGCACAACTGCATGCAATTATTGATAATTGCTTGATTTTCGAGCAATTGAGAGAGCTTCGATAAACATAAACAGAGCACAGTGAGTTAATTGAATTGTTTCTACATCATAAGTCGAAACCGTTCACTGTACTAGCTACGTGGCACGAATATACTTGGAAATATTTGATAAATGGGTAATTAAAAGTGTATTTGTGTACCGGTCACGATGAGTGTGTATTGAAAGGTGTATTAAATTGAAACAATTAAAGATACAATGAAACATTTGTTATTCGTAATTATAAAGACTGAATGATTCTAATATGTTCCATGAATAGATATTGAAATTAAATATTACACAAGAGTTAACAAATGTTTTATTAAAAATTTTTAAAGAAAATGTAAATAGTGAGGGACTTGGTTTCATATTAGTCCAATGTATTACATTTCATCGATTCTATCAATATTGTTAATACAAAATGACTTTATTGGAGTTAATAATTAATTAACCAATTCATTTGAAGCTTTACACTTTGCTAGAGGCAGATTTTACAAATTGTATGGATTCTATAATGTAGTTTACGTACGGTTTGATGTTTTATTGACCTATACTACTGAAACGTAATATAATTGTAAGCTGCAAGTTGGACGAAGATTCAGCCATTTTGTGTTAAGAATATTAATTAAACATTTACACAGTCATTTTATTAAGCTTTGAACTTTAATTTGATGTGTCATAGATGCTAGTTTGCAATACTTTTATGTCATAAATTGTCTGATTCTTTGTTGACCAAAACTACTGAAATAATTGTAAACTTCAAGTTGGCCGAAGAATCAGCCATTTTGGGTTAAGAATATTA